AAAAATCCACACTTAATCCATATAACATTCTTTAGGATTATCAAGCCAAATATGCTTTCAACGCAATAATATTTTATATTGCTTAAGGTGCTATTTTGTCACCTTCATATTCAATCATATATTAATGCCATAATATATAAAATTATATTCAAATAATTGAGTATAGGCTTATATATCTCCTTGAATCCAATATAACAATGAAGGAGATTATATTTCAATTGTATTTGTAGAAGGATTTCTTATCATGATCTCAAGGGATATAACACATGAAAAATCACTTGAAGGCCAAGTTATTTAAGCCCAAAACATTCTAGGATCCACTCTCTAGTTAGCCCCAATGTTTGATCCTATTAGATTCATGTATGTAATTCAGAAGCGAAAGCTTTTCAAATATGTGTTGTTCGACTACATAAGAGATGTGACAAAAGGGGCATTTTGTAGTATTCTCATTCATGGTTTCAATATGATAACCATTATATGTTTATACCCTTAAAAGTTTAGTAGATTCCAATATGATATATTAGGAAACAACTAGTCACATATTTAAAAATTTTGCTTTTTAAGTTGCAAAATTCAAGCTTTTCAAGAGCTTCCAATACTAAACAATGTACAAGTTCTTTGGAGTTTTTAATCCAGCTTGTAACATGAAATATCACATTAGTTTCAAGCTAAGTGCAACTAGGAAAAGTTTTTTTCTTTTCAAGATATTTCATCATGAAATAGTCTTTTGCATAGTGAAAAATGACACAATTTTTCAAGTTAATTCCATTATTATACATTTTGTATAATAGGAGTGCATATATGCCACATTTTACTTATCACAAAGGTACCATTATACCTTCATTGTGTGATAGAGTTGCTTTACACAATTTTAAATTTTCATCCTTAATTTCATCATTATAATCAGGTTGCTTTTTTTCAAAGTATTTCTCCATCAATATATAACCTCTATATTGAGAGATATTAGATGAAATAAATATGAATATCAAAATTGGGGATATAAATTCTTCATATGAGAAATGTTATTATAAAACTCATATCCATTCATAGATGCATTTTTGCATCTCATCTTCTAATTAGAAATGAATTCTTATTGATGAGACTTGATCTCAAAGAATTCTCCTTTTAATTCATAATGTCCACATTGGGATGTATATTTAATTTCTCAAATGTTTAAGATATTTTTCCCTAGTATTCTTAAAATGGATATAATATATCCAATAAATTTGTATATAACAAATATCACAAGTGCATATTCATAATATTATTTTCCACAAAATATGTTTTTGCACCATTTCCCTTCTCATTGGTTAAAGCTTGGAACAAATCTAGCAAGCACATAAATTGCTTGGATATACAAAAGATACGTGATTAATATTCATTTATGTCACATCTAAGAATTCTCAAATTTTTTGCCAACTTATTTTGCAAAGTCTCATTTCACAACTATATTCATAACCATGATTATAACATGATGTCATATTGTCTTCCAAGAATGGAATCAAACCAATGGTTGTGATCGACAATTTTTCATCAATTCATAGTTTTTTTTGGCAACAAGAAAACATGTATTTACTTTGAATATACATGTTAAAATTACCCTCTTAAGATTGCTACTTTTGAAGCATATTCAAGGCATGAAAAGAAGAATGTATCTTCTCTTCTATGTTTTCATCAGTAATAATTATTCTCCGCATGTGGTAATTTAAAATATTTGTGGATTCATATTTGAGTAATAAATGGATTCATTTATAGCTAGTTTTTTGGAAGAGTTGCAATGTTCTTTTGATGATCATCTTTCTTCCAAACAATTCCATGATTCTAATGAATCATTCATTGTCAAATATTCATCTCTTAGTCCTTTTTGGACTTTATAATGAAGAAATATCATTCAATCACAATCATTCAAAGATGCTCTTTTCTTCAAGAATATTTTCTTTCTTCAAGAAATACTTTATTTCCTTTTACAATTGAATCTTCAAGATTCATTGGAGAAAAATGAATTTTCACATCAAGAGTTCACAACAAATAGTTAGAGCCAAATTTATAAAGGGCAATAAACTCAAGTCTTTTGATAAGTGCAAAGTAACATATAAACATGAAAATTGTTAGAGGACTATAGAATATTCAAATTAGAAAACAAAAAATTAAAAGACTAAATTGTCTCAGAATCTTATCTCAAAACTTTACCTCAACTTATATCTTTCCCTCAATCGGTTCATCACCTCAAATAGGATTCATGAATAGTAATTCATATAGAGGCAAGTCATGCTGGTAATGTATTGTAAAATAAAAAAAGAATCAATTAGTAGAAGAAGAAGAATTAGAGAGACAAAGTAAGGCAATGCAAAGACATATTATATTTATATTCCTTTTTTCTTCATTTGTTCTCCATACATTCTCCATACATTTGCAAGAGTCCAAGTCCTGTATATAGGGGCCAATAGGTGATAGGAGTTATTTAGAAATAAACACCCACTAAATGGGAGGTTATAAGGATTAAGTTCCTACTAATGGAGAGATTACAAGGAATCTCATTATCATAATCTAAATGCATGGCATTATGAAGTGTTAATCACCATTGTAATTGCATCGAGGTAATGGAAGTTACACAATTACTAGGTGTGTAAATGCCATAGAAAGTGAGGAGGTGTAAAGATGAAAAAGGTGGAACATTCACAATGAATTGATTGATAACATCTTTCTTTTAATTTTAGTTTTTAATTTTTATTTCTTTGGCGCTATTTCAGTGGTGCCTTATTTTCATTTAATTCCTTGCATTTTGAATGTAAATGCTAAAAGAAAATGTAACTGTTAGTGTTTACTATATAAAATAGTGTTTACTATATAAAATGCAGGAATTTACAAATAGATGCCTGTGTTTTTCAAAATGCTATCTAAACAAGGCTAGTAAAGACAAAAAATAAGAGTGGATTGGCGTTTGTGGAAACGCAAGAATATAAATGTGAGGAAAGGCTCTTTTTCCTCTAGTGTATAGTAGTGATAAATTTTCCACATATTTTTATATTAGATTTAATTAAAATAAAAAAAAATTTAGTCTATGTTCTTAAAGAACATATTTAAGATATAATTAACATATCTTTTTGACATGAATTGATATTAAAAATAATAGAACTTAACCTTAATTTTATGACCTATATTACATTGATTATTTTAATTGGACATTTAATTAAATAAATGTCAACTTCTATTTTTCAATAACAATTAATATTAAAAAGATGTCCTTAAGAGCAAAAGTTAAAAAAAAAA